GAGCAAAGGACGCTACTAGGGGCTCCTGGCATCGCTACTAGGAGCAAAGGACGCTAGACGCTAGTAGAAACAATAAAAGTTAAATTAGAATTGAGATACACTTGTGATTGCTTGTGTGCAACCGAGCGGCAGCACGGCACGTTCGATTCCCAATTCTCGCCTTGGCAGGAAGTTTGTGCCACAAGTTCTGCACAACCCAAGACTCAAAACACGCTTGGCCAAGATACCAATCTTCCATCAACGGTCCAGGCAAGCAGTCCCAAGGCAGTTGGAAGTGAGCCGAGCCATTTCCTGAGTCCGGGCTTTGTCGCACCCGGCTCAGAATCAAGCCGTCTGATCGAACTGCATCTTCACATTCAATCTCATCAACGATCATCAACGTATGAATCATGAACACGTATGAACGTTGAGGTTTAGGTATGGAAACTGCAGGAGACGTGAGTGGATTTGTGCGAACAATGTCTCATGTGTGGCTGAGGCTCGGCAAAGTATGGAGTCAGCAATGTCTTCCTTCAAGTCCTCAGTTGGTCCAGCACTCTCCAAGGAGCCTCCAAAAATCAGTCCAAGGGGCATCCCAAAGCTGACGACTGTAGCCAACACATCTAGCTGATCTTTGCTCCTGACGACAGCCACAGGGAAAAACAAACACTGTAAGACGTAAAGAAAGTTGGCTACGCCAACTTCAGTTTCTCTTTGCACTGGCCTCTGGGCTTAGCTGTTTCCAAGACTTCTGGCTTGAGGTCGGGATCCTGAACAGGCTGCTGGGAGACGAGCCGGACGCGAGGGTCGAAGTTGACCGTGCATCACTGTAACGTCCAGTGCGCTCCCGCACCTGCTCTTGGCTTTCCAGGACACTTCTGTCCATCCAAGAGCTTCCCAGCAGCTTCGAGTCTTCAAACCCATACCTGGCAGATGCCCCGTTGAAATCCGATTGAACATCTCTCCCCCTCACCTGGCCAGCTCTGGAAGTAGCTCGGCACTTGGGAGGCCAAAGGCTGCCAAGTGTCGGCGCAAGAAGCCCCGCACAAATCCTGCACAGCATGGCACGTAACACGGTTACCACATAGCGCACGTCTATGTGCCAAGGATCCTGACGTGACGATGGTGCTAACTCGTCCTGGGCTCGCACAGGGGAGTCGAATTGATCTTGCCCGCCCTTGAAAGCCCTCCCGCTCAAGGGTTCGATGCATGTTCCGGTTAACTCTAAGTTCAGCGAAGAGTCGCATAAAGAAGACCTTGGAATGCATTCGTTTTGTCGCTCAAGCGGCCTTCACCGTGTTTTTGTCCTTGCAGCTTGCATTGCTTGCATCATTATGCTAGGCTTTGCTAGGTCAGGTAGCAGGTTCTTCTGGAAGAATGGCCACGCGCTGGAAAGGTCGGTGGCCGAAATGACCTGAACAGGTCCGACAGGCCAGCGGCCCTAAATGGCGAAGTGGACTTCGAACGTGTAGCGTTCTTGCTCCTAGTAGCGATGCCAGCAGCCCCTAGTAGTAAGGCAGGACGCATGAGGAGATTCTCTTTGCAACTCATTGTGCCCGTGCAGACTCACACCCACACCGGAGCGTGCTGTATGAAAAGGCCTGAAGAGCCGCACGTGCACCCGAGACCGCCGCAGCCTGACGAGAGTGAAGGCAAACCTAGAGATGAACGCTCAGTTGACTCAGTTGGACAATCTATATTAAAAAACAATCTATATGAAAGCCAGCCTTCGTAGAAGGCGCCAGCTGAGTTGTGTTTGGCGAACGAAGTGAGTTAGTAGGGGGTGGCCCGAGAAAGGGCTACGTAAACTCCAAATTAGGTGGTGTCTAGGGGTAGGTTTTTGAGGTTGTTTTGGAGGTGATTCTTTGTGATTTTTGAGGAGGTGGTGATGCAAGAAATGCAATGTGCATCATTTGCATCATTTGAATGATAAGGTATAGTTTTACAAAGGCCGATAGTAACGCTGGCTTTCGTTTTGCAGCTTCTCAGGTTGTTTCAACAAGGTTCTACAGCAAACCAAATATGTCTAGATGTTCTGTATGTGCATGTGAAGTTGATTCCTCGCCTGCAAACTGCCGTACATCAGGCGGCAGGTGTGCTCCCCAGCAAAGTAAAGGCCTTGAAGCAAGCCGTTGCAAAGCGAAGCTATGGGCAAAAAGGAAATACAAAAAAACTGTCTTTGTTCTTGAACCTTTCTTGTTGCAAACTTGCAACTGGTCTTCAAGCATCCTGTCTTGGATCGCACATGAACTGAGCCTCGTGAATTCTTCTGTTGGAAGATGTCGAAATCGCTGCTTGAAGATCCCACCTGGTGTCATGTGAAGTCTTCATGCAGCTCGAAAAGGGTGGGTACAACATGTCTTGACTTATTATCAAATTGCGTAACACTTTTCTGCCGACCAGATTTTATCAAATTGTCTAACCGGTGAACTCAAGACCGGGTCGTGCTAATTCCAAAGGTGAACTCAGATGTTAGATTGTCAAATGATGCACCCGTAACCAGCCTTTCCAGACGTCCATGATCCAAGAACCTAGGTGATGATGTCCATATCACAAGAAGGATCCCGTGCCAAGCGGCGCCAGGGAAACGGGAAGCATGCAACAAAAGCCAAAGCATGTATATATATAAAATATGATAAAATATGTATGTTTATAGGACTATTGTTACAATGCGTAACAGCAACAAGAACACATAAATTTTAAAAGGAATCCAACAACATATAAAACATATTGGCGGTGTTGTTGAACGCCGAGCCACATGCGGGTCCTCCTCAAAAGACACAAAATGCACATCCTCCACTGCTCCAGGTGCCATGTGCGGATACCTTGAATACATAGAGCTTGAAACCAATATCATAACCAACGTGTTCCTCTTGGCCTCGCTTAGCTCGCTGCATCTCCTTCAGCTCTTGGACCACCTCATGCACCGTACACTGCCGCGCCGCCTGGAAGGACAAATCGTTCGTTGCTCACCACAGGGCTGCGTGTGACGACTCGGCGTAGCTTGCCAACGCTTCGTTGCTCTTTTGGTAGTAACAAGTGCATCGCTACTAGTAACAGGTGCCTTACTAGTAGTAACAAAGA